AGTGCGACACAACAGCAATAACAGCAGACAAGACAGGAATAATAAAATAAAAAGTTCCCATCTAGATCAAGAACAGTTCTCTGTCTCTGAATGATACACATCAACCCATCTGGTAGTTTTTGCATGATTTGTAGGTAGTTTTTGCATGTAGGTTTGAAGAGGGGCTATTTATGTTAAAGTCAGCGGAAGGACACAGAGACAAACAGACCAGACAGATACATTAGAATAAAACACAAAGAAAAGTGCCACCACAATTGGAAGCAACACAAAAGCAAAACATCAATGGAGGAAAGCATGCATTTCATGTCCAAACGACATATATTGCTTTTTGGGTTTTATTTGTTTTCTCTGACATTGCGCTATAAACCTTAACACAATAACCCAGCAGATTACCAAACGTCCCAATCAATCAATGTTCGAGGAACTCAACAATCATAATTTTGTACTAGGGCATTAATAAAGTGTAATGATTTGTATTTGAATTCAGTTTTTTGTTTTTTTCATATGATTTTTAAATATTTAAAAATGCCACATTTTTGTGAATTTGACCCCTACTAAACCTTCACACATTAAACACATTAACTAATGACACTGGGACGACATGTGACATAAATAAATAAAAATAAATAAAAATAAAACACCCACAGTAATGTGACTTGTGATGTGTTCTTCAGTAAAAGCAAAATTATGCATTTTTACTTGAATTTGTCCCAGAGAAACTTTAGATAAAATTTTAAGGAAAGTCAGGAGTGTCCAGTAACAGTATGGTTAATATGTTTGCTTGTTTATATATATATATCTATAATATATAAATATATCTGTAACTTTATTGTTTTAAATAGTTGCTTTTCTACATAAAATTGTGCCACTGTTTTGAATCTGAAAAATATATAATAAAATAAAATACCAAAAAAAACTCCCCCCCAAAAAAGATCTCTACACATACAGTTTTCATGTAGTAAAATAGAAATAACGCTTTTGGACGTAAGTAGATAAACAGAAGAGTTAAAAAAAATATGGAATATAGTTGAGGTCTGAAGATTATGGAGCCGACAACTCTTTCTGTATGGAAAATACAAATCATTGATGTAAACAACACGTTTCAATTATTTAAGAAAAATAAGGGTTTTTTTTTATAACCATTTTATAACACTGTACATTTAGCAGTTTTAAATAAATCCATGGCTTTTGTTGTTAACCTTCTCCACCTGATATCAAACAGGTGACATTATATGAGTGGCTTTGTCCGTTTTTCCCCACCAAGGAATATCAGGCCTACAAAAAAAAAAACAGACAGACCCACGCTCTAGCACAAAAAGACACACCGCAGCTACAGTAGATAGTCTGATGAGTAATTAGGGGAGTTACACACTGATTGTTGTCATGCACAGTAACGAGAGAGGAAGCCTGTTTTTGTAGGAAGCTAGCAGCATGCACACAGTGGCTGCAGCTCTGCATTCAGCTGAGCTAAGAAAAGCTCAGTAAAGCTCAGCTCGTGTCTGATTCACACAACATCAAAAGGGGTCAGTAAACAAACAAAAACAAAAAAACAAATATAAAGCACAGAAAGTATAAGGTTGTGGGTAAGGAAGAATGGGGGGAGGAGTCATCAGCCGGTACATTATTGAGCATTCCATGCAAAAAATACCATAGTCATTCATCTCTGTAAAAATGATGCGACAGATCCTGACCACCTAGATCCTGGGTTTCAGAATGAACCAAGAGTGAACAGCACAGCTGAGCAAACACAGACAAAATATCTCTATCTGGACACGAGTCCACCTCAAAGTTGTACTTTGGGAAATTATCAGTGAGACGGTACTACATTCATTTTACATATGTTAATGCAATGATGTACAGGACAAATAGCTGAGAAACTATGTTTGTAGTATCCATTGTAATGTATTAGATTCCCTTGAATATATTTGACTAAACCTTTGTAGAATGGTTAGAGTAAAACCATGATACAGTATATGATATACAGATATTGTTTAAACTGATTCCTCAGCATTTACTGGTAAATCTTGTTATTCAAGAACCCCTAAAGGCAACATTAATCTCCACATGTTAGTGTGACAACATTACCATGAAAATGAATTTTACCCATTCATATTTTACATTTGAAAATACACTAAACTCTTCTAATAATACTTTTACTAATGTAGAAGCTAACTAACGTGATTGAAAGCAAAGCCTGACAGGACACTGCTGTTCACCCTTGGTTGTCTCCTTCCCATCTTGCCTGCACGCTCTGCTATTGGACAATAGGGCACTCACCAGTACATAGTAGTAAGCATACAACGCTGCCAGATGGTGAACTACAAAAAACTTGTCGCCTATTGCCTTCCAATAGTAAAATATTAGCAGCAGATCTGGAAGAAAAAGGGGAGAAAAAAACAATAATTCAATTACAAGATTTATAATAGACCCATGTAATGATTAAAAAAAACCCATGCAAGGTTTTCTTACCAGATATGAGGTAGCCTGTTGTGATGGCAACATTAGTCTTGACAAGTGTAGGATCTCCCCTATTGAAAATACACATTTGATTTGACTAGGTTTGCTTCAAATTCTCATGTTTCAAATACTGTTGTGCTACTGAATGGATAGCCTGAAGGAAAGTAATGCTGCTTCTAATACTTTTTTTATTTGAAAATCTTGATCTACCAGCTATGGTGGTAATTTATGCTATTGAAAAAAAATCACTTTGTTTTTTTGCAAATGGATACTCACCAAAAAAAATGTAATGCATTAAAAATAATGAACTTAACTTCATTCTATAGGATTGGTAAACAATTGAAAAAAAGGTGATGAAGAGTAAATAAATTGTATGTAAACCTACTAAAAAAATACACGCAAAATTTATAAAAAACAAACAAAGAAAACCTATGGAACAAAGTAATTATAGCAACATATTTCTGTTTATATTTCATTAAAACTGAATCTGAATGGTCCCTAAAATGCATTTTATTTATGGTCAGACTTTGTATTATTCCTGCATCTTGCCATGAAGAAATGGCTGGCCAGGACACTCTATTCATAGTACAGGACAAAATGATTAAAAAAAAAAGAAAGAAAGAAAAAAAGACACAAAACAAAAGATGTTTGGAAAATAAGTTAGGATGTGTCATTGGATGCCAGTATTAAAATTTAAAGGTTGATAGGTGGTAGAAAACGAGGCTCTCACCAGACTGGGTCTTCATTGACAGCATCATCGAAACACAAGATGTAAAGACAGAAAAGTCCCACCAGCAGTGCATGAAAGGTGGACACGGTCCTAGAAGGGAAGACAAAAACTGTTAGGAGGATCTACTTTCAACGCGTCAGACACTTGAGGTTTTTAGGTCAATATTCTTCCCAAATGGATTTGCCTGATTCATAGAAATATGACTTGCAGCTGTTTTTATAGTTTGCCCTGTACTTGAAGTCCTCAAAATGTAAAGGCTCAGTCAGGGCTACATACAGATTCAGAGCAGAGACACTCATAAATTATACACTGCTGAAAGGTCGGGCAGATCAGCAGCACAGTCCCAGTCGATAATATAGTTCATGTTCATGAGACTTTCTGTTATGACGGCTGTCCAGCACAAGCACAAAAGAAAATCTCTCCTCAGATCAAACGTCCCGACGTCTAGTCAAGACTAACCAGTTTGTTTATCTATAGTGAACTCACCCCTCGTCTACTGCTCGTTGCCAGCTGAGTTTGGAATGTATACTTTATACACCATCTGTCTAATGGTAAGATAATTTAAATTCCTTTACTGCTGCTTGGACACCAAACCAAGGGAAAAAGTTACTCAGAACAAATAGTTCAGAAGAACTTCAGCATAGTTTGTTATGTGAAAAAACAATATTTTACCCAGTAATGATGAAGCACAACGCACGACTATTATAGTAGGATGGCACTGAAAAACTAGACGATCAGCAAACATCCACCATATGCTGTAAAAGAAATAGCTTTCACGTAGCTTTTTTATTTTTAAACGGCTCTATTTTTGCCACTAATAACTGCCACAGTTTCTCCTACACTGTCTACAGAGATGGACGAGAACGGGGCCTGTTGTGACATAGCAGTTGAGACGATATGAAAGAAGAAGAGTTATCACAGATCATTGGGGTGTGTGCAAAGTGACAGATATCCGAAAATCTTGACATTCCATTGCCTTCTGCCACCTAATGGAGATCAGCTGATCTTGTCATCGCAAGGAACAAAAGCTTGAAGCGCCAAAGAGCTACTTGTCACCATCTCACCACCCACAATAATGATGTGCTGCAGAAACTTGTAACATTAGCAGCGTTTGGAGTAAAATAAGAGGCCATTTGATGGGAATGAGAAATTAAAATTGAAAAGAGAGTAAATTACATTTTTAATCCGGCCGGTTAATAAGATACTAAATTCTGTGTTCACAGGAAGCCTGACGTTTGACCACAAGTGCAACTTAATTTATTGTTACTGTATATGAAACAATTCTTATGACCAACTTCATCTCAGCTCCACCACCCTACTGTAAGAAAGGCTGCTCTATAATGAAAAAAACATAACCATGATTTGGTTAATATTAAACTTGCAATTATTCAACATTAGTACTCATGGATCCTGGAAACAAAGTGCACAAACAGCAAATATGATGTTTTCTTTTATAATAATTGAAATGATAATATTCAAGTACTGTAAAAAAATGAATGCAAGAAATGCATTTTCATTAGCTCTCGGGAAAAAAATGCAAAATTAAAACATGACGTATATAAATAAAATGCTAAAAAACAAAACCATGAACTCAACATAAATACTAGCAATTAAAAGGCAAATACATTTTTATTTTAATGGAAAGGTCATAACAAACATCATGACTAATACTACCTTGAGTTCCATTCCACCTTCTGCTTGTCACTGAGGCCAGCAAAGCCCGGGCTGATGTGCCTGGATATCCAGGGACTGACCTTGTGGAAGAGCCATTGAAAGGTGAAGAAACTAGTCACCGAGATAATGAGGATAACCTGGCTGAATGGGTCCATGGCCATCCAACCCCACTGTCAGAGAAAGAGGAAAAGAGGGTGAAGGTTACAAAGGGAATTGGTTACACGAAAGAGCGGAATTCTAAACAGGATAAAGATTCCTGCTAGCAATGAATGTGCTTTGGCTGTAAACCTTCTTCATTTGAGTGATTTTTATTTCTGGATTTTATTTAGCTGCCGAAATCTCATAGTCAAAAACAAACTTAGTCATTATGCATACTGTTGCAGCCACATACATGTTGGCATTTAAACGAGTCTTGCTTGCTCAGCCGATGTGAAGGTCTGCACAAGACCTTGTTTTTTGGTGCCTTCAGTTTGTGCGGCTACAGTGTGTTTTCAGTGATCAAATACAGCTTATAGTGCATTTATGTGTGGCCTGTGTACGACACTTGACCAACTTGTTTTGACAGCTGCAACTAGAGATGGTTAGAATTCCACCAAGTCACATTTTTGACTCGAGAATTCGGTCTAGTGGCCATATTTAGGGATTCCTTCACTGTTTTATTACCTGTGTTGTCTCGACTGAGACAAATGACCAAAAGGCTTAAAACTACTGTACTACTGTCAAGACCCTTAAAAATCTGCATAGCCCCAAAGAAATCTCTTCTACACAATCCAGCTCCCTACTTTAGTTTTTTAGTTTTTAAGGGGTTTTTTGCCATGTTGCCTATAGCTGTTGCCTTTTTGGAAAGGCTTTGTCATCTGCAAACACTGATCATCCCACAGCTGAGATAATATCATCAAACACATGAGTGTTATGATGGAGAATAGTTCTTTGAGGTTTTCCACTTTTAACCTTGTGCCTTTTTTTACTTGATTGGTTTTCTGCTCAGAAACACAAAATTGTAGTCTCTCCATAACATGGTATGCTTTCATAAAAATCAAACACCTAAGAACTACTGGCTTTTCTCACCTCAAATAACAGAACTGGTTCATTTCTGTTGTCACCTTTCCTGCAATACACTGATAAGTCCTTCATTGTCAATATATTTTGTTAACTTGTACACACAAGACATTAATGCTATGAATGAAGATCAGTTCAAGGGTTGTTGATTGGGGTTTATAGAAGCTGGTCTGACAGCAAAAGACTCCTTTGTTGTTTTAATGTGTGTTTCCTGGGATTCCTTTTATGTTTTAATGTTTATACAATTTTTTTGTCTAAACTAAGAGGTACATTTCGGATAAACTGTAAAAAAAAAAAGGCTGCGTGGGGAAAGCCAACACAGTATGGACAGTGAATGTTGATCAGAGATAGAGATCAACTTCTTCCTCTATGACTCAAACCCCTCATTTATTTTCTTTTAGTTTTTCTTAGAGTTTTATCGCATATTTAATGAATTGACCATATAAGCCTCTTGAAGAGGCCAAGTTTGCCAACTTTGGTGCAAGTGTCTTTTAGTGCAGTCCCACAAAACACATATCGCCTCTGTTTTACATGCCTACTTTGGACAGGGAGTTGCACTGTTAAGAGAGCCTAACGGTTAAGCAAATATACCTTTACAGCATGTTAATATAGGTATACCTTTAAACTCATTTGCATTGAGATTATAGTATGAATATCTGTAAAACGTTATGCTCACAGAGCAGTGGCTGTTTAAGGTATACACATGCAAGCCTGATACAGGACACTTGTACCAAGGACAAACTGTGACAGAGGTCATGGCTGACAGGGCACTACATGTGCATGCAACATTCTACACCAAAAACAATAAACCTGGTAGTGGTAACTATTCTTAGAAGTTAATGGTGGGTTGAAAGAAGGCATGAACATATTTTTAGACATGTTTATTTTTATAAGCACATGGTAAAGCTGTAAGCTGTTTGTTGTTTACTTCATGTAACTGCTAAGAGTACAAAGTATAAGATCCAATGAGCACACACAGGGTTTTGTGATGGTTTTGATGGGGGAAGGGAGGTTAAAGTAAAAGTAACACAATTTCAGGATATGCATTTTGAGTTTTTGGATTCAATATTAATTGAAGGGCAAGTTAAATGTTGAAATATGTGTTTGAAAGAGTACACGTATACTCAAATGAGTTATTCAGAATGTTCACTGTGAATTTTTTAAACATAAATCATAGACTAAACATAAGAATAGGGTAAAGTTATCTTATTTTCAGTGTCACGTTTGCTTTTGGAAGCAACTGCATATGTGCATTTGTTTTATTATACAGTAATGCTCGATTAACTCCCATATGGATTCAGGCCATAAGACAAAAAAAAAAAAAAAACAGCATCCTGTAGAAATTGAAATGGAATAACAGATAGAAATGTATTGGGTCGGTGAATGTAACCCTCCTGGCAGCCTATAAATCCATCACATAATGACAATAATTAATTAAGCTGCCATCTCAGCATGCAACTTATACTTTGATAATACATACAACCTACGTTTGTGTGGTTATTTAGGTATACACATTTAAATGAAATGAAAATTTAAATGATTTTTTTAACAAACCTTTTATTAATACAATGAAAAAACAAACCTGGGTAATTCTATAATAATATAGAATTTAATTTTCAATTTAATTCCACACTACGGCTAATTAGCCAGTCAACGTCTAACGATTGAAGATACGTCATCAGTAAAAATAAAGAGGGAAATCACTGCTGGTACAAACTCAGTATATAAAATATACTGGATTAGGCCTAGCTTAAGTTTAGGCCTGGTGCACATTTTCTATGCAATTATACTTATGTACACCTCACAGCCTCCATTACTTCCTGGAACCTTGATTACTTCTTATGTTTTCATGACGACTGTGACAGAGATTGGGTCGTTTTTCAGGTATACGCGCCATACGACAAATAAAAAAAACAACAACAAAAACACGCCACCATGATTGTTTTTCAATATATAAAGCGGACTTTAGCATAGCATACAGTAGTATAGCATACCCCCTCGTGAAGTGAACACACACCTACAGAAAACACATTCACGCCGCATTGCCTGTCCAGCTGCTGTGATGTGTGGAAGGGAAAATAACTCCGGCCTCTTCCTCCCCCGTCCTCTCTTCTGCTGTTTACCAGCCACGAGCATGAAAACGAGAAAATCAAAATACACAAAAATCGAGAAGCACAGAGAACCTACCGTGTGGCCGACTCCCTCAGCTGCTTATCATTCCCGCAGTCTCCTGCAGTGCCGTGGATGTTGTGTCAAAGCCACAGCCACAGCCATGTCGAGTCATATTTTGGAGAGGTTGAAGGGATGTGTGTGTGTATGTATGTTCGTGTGTGAGAAAAAGAGCGCAGTCCGCCTCCTGCTTCACTCACACCCACGTCAGTAAGTTGGGGGCTGTGAGAAGGAAACGCTGTTTACGAACCTCGTCACGTTTTCCGAGGTGTTTACAGGGAATTCCATCCGACTTTAAACATGCCTGTGAGCGGAGAAGCCGATCATGGTCGAGCTGCTCGACGCTCGATTATAGAAACGATGGGATCTCGATCTCTCTCGGTCTCTCTCTCTCTCTCTCAGTCTCTCTCGTCCACTCTCTTCTCCACATTGAGATCAAATTTCAGCAGATTTCTTAAAGCCACAGACACACACTCCTCCCTGCAGGCGCTAGACCAGTCATGTACATGTGCACCCACTGTTGCAAATGTATGTTCAGCGGTTTTCAGGCCAAGGATTCATTATGACGTAGAGATGGAACATGGATCACTTACAAACTATCCGAGGTGAGGTCGTGGGGGGCAGCAGCCAGAGCAGAGATCACTTACAATATACTGTACTGTATACTGAAAAAATGTGTTTATAATAAACTAGGTTCATATACAAGTATATGTGGTTAGTTATATATATAAAACACCTTTAAAGTGATGCCCTAAGGGCCACTAAGCCTCTGTTGAAAACCCCTGCAGTATCTGGTAGTATAGTGCTGTGTTTACCAGTACTGACGCTGACCTGGGACTGAATTTTCCCTCTTGCTTTTTCATTAGGTTTAAACACAATATTTTGTACAGAACATTGATCCACTGATAAGCACTGGTGCAGTTTCAGTGATACTACCTGTGGTTAAAACCTGTTATTTATGTTGCTATGTTTTTCACATTTGTGGTTTAAGTATGAAGGACATTTGTTGCAGCATTGTGGGAGGAACAAAGATCAGCAGATGTTGTTTTTACAGCACCAGGCTATTTCTTTCTGCGTATTTCCTTTGCAGTATTTCATTTGCCCTGAAGCAGCAATAACAATCTGCGCTGAGACACATACTCTTTGGCCCCGGACATTGCTCACACAGCTCTTTATGGTCTGATATATGTACTACATTATATATTATTAACAACAGGTCTACTTATTTCAAAGCTCTCTACCATAATAAAACGTATACCTGCTCCCTCCCAGAGTACTTTGATACAGAATCCCTACTGTCACTTCCCACAAATTTTGCACACCTTCAAAAAATTGCAGCAGGTTTTCACTAAAACAGTTTGTTTTTACATACAAAATTAACACATTGATTATGTTGTATCTTTGCATCGATATGATGTTTAAAGCTAAATGGCAGAGAGGGAACACAACAACACATTCCCAGAAGTCCAAAAACCTGTTTGGTTTTGTTTTTTCAAGCACTGATTTAATGAGGCCATGAACATAAGAACAACATGCTTATCTTAACATTTAAAATAAAAACCTGAACTGCTGATCACATCCTAGCCTCAATCATCTAAAGGACCAGATCCGATGACCAGATGACCAAAGGTCAATATTGTGAACATTACTAGACTGCAGATTAAATCACAAATGAGCAGCATATAAAATCAATTCTCTCTCTTATGTAAAGTGTATTTAGAGCACAAAGATAGGGACTGGCCTACATCACCAGTGACCTCATTTGCAGTTGTTTATATGTTTAGCGTGTCAGTGGGCCTCGTTGGACTCATTCACATGAAATGACACCATTTTCATCTACCCAGAAACAAGAAAAAAATGAAATATTAAATATTTCACTTGACAAATGTGTGTCAGTTGTTTCCTCCAATTCCTCAGACAACATTCCAATTGCTGGAAAACTTTTAGGAAAATTCTATATTTCTGAATGTCCACCAAACACCTGCTGTGGAAACAATGCATATAGAAAGAGGCATATCCTGTAGAACTTCCACCTTCACCCCCCTCCCCAGCATCCAAATATGTTTGTTCTGTTTGCTGTTCACATGCGAGACCTTGTAACTATTGCTGTCACTGTAGTTGTTTGGAACTGGTCTGTTCGTGATGTTTCAAATTTGGAGTTGAAGGTTAACCAAAGGATACCACCCACTCTTCTGTGTACAGCTGTATACCTAATGGGAATTTCATTGCAGCTTCAGTCCAAAGTGCTTGGTAATGGCCGCTTTTTACCTAGTGCACTTTGATTCAGTCAAACCTCTCCTTTCCTTAGCATTCATTTAGAGTGTTTGATTATTATATCTTTACTGCAGTGTTGTGGGGCAGTGGTGGGTTAGTGGTTAAGAAAACGGACTTGGGTCCCGAAGGCTTCAGGTTCGAGTCTACCACCTGCCAAGTTACCACTGAGGTGCTCGGAACATTTCGTTGTGTGCAGTGGTGTGCTGTGTCACAATGACAAGTAGTTCACTTATCTTCCTTGTGTCAATATGGCGAGATTATTTCATGTGGAAGATGGTAAATGATTAGTTATATCACCTTACTGTGTAATTTTGTGCAAATGTTATACTTTTTATCCCCGGAATAACAGTAATATCTCCCTCAACAAATATAAATCACCTGCACCATACATTTCATTTTGTGAACATTGACTTGCTTTGATCATATACATTTACTAAACAACAGCGCCCTCTGTCTGCAAATGTTAAAACACTTCATACAGTTTTAATGCCTTGAGTTGTGCATGGACAAAAAAAAAGAACACAAACAACCTATAATTGTGGGAATTTGAGGCTTTAAATGTGAGATTTAAATAAATAATTTCTGATTATTTACATATAGGGATTCTATAGTTGAGCATTCATGTGAAGTTGCATCAAACAGATTTATTCCACCCTGTTTTTACTGACATTTATTTATTTTCTCTTACCTTAAGACTTGAGCCTCTCTAGGTTCTTCTTCACCTTAGCATTCTCAACTGGCTCTTAGAGTTTATAGTTGATATAATTTTCACATCTGCGAACCAATCTGCCACTCTGACTGCACAACACATGTTTACAAGTGTTTCAGTACATCTGAAGATACACTGTTATGCAATTTAAAAAGCATTGTGTGGCAAAACAGACTTCTGAAAACATAACATATCAAAAGAAGACATAGATTTTATTATTCATATAGAAATAGAAAAATACATGCACTGGTATTGGCATAAATACAGTAAGATATGATCAGCAAAAATGATAAAATAGTTTCTTTGTAATAAATTTGCATATATTTCTTTAATTCAGTTTATGCCTTGTCACAGAGGTGGACAAGAGGAAATAATGCTACACCATAACAGAATGTGAAACAGTAAATGGAAACTATGTACTTGTTGAATGTAGTGTATAGAAAAATAGATTAAGAAATACACAAAGGCTTTAAAGCTAATCATGGCAGCAGCGCAATGATCGGTCTGTTTTCATGCTCAATGCACAACTGAGCACGTGTACCATAGATGATTTAAGGCCACCCTCCTCCTATTCCTCCACACTGATACATCTTTAAACAAAGACAGTTTGGTTTTAATTCTTCTGTTGAATAACCCTCTTCAAAATACAGAGAAATAACAGTTGCAAAAATATATTAAGGCACCCAATCAAGTGATAACTGATTGATAACTCACAATTTTAAACCAACTACTGCAAAATGTACAAATGTAACAACTCTTCACCTCAATAAAAGATTAATGTAAGACGCTGCAGTCTGTTTGTTTCAGCCTGTTTTTTTAAGCCAGTGTTAACACTGTTGTGAAACAACCCTGCACTGATCCATCAAAGGACTAGTATTCACAATGTCTTGTGTTGAAGTACACCTCATGTCAATATGCTCTAGCAAGGATTACTAGTGTCGGTAACTACATAAAAACAGCACCTCAGAGAACTTCAATAGAAACTCAGGATTCAACAGACGTGGGACAAACGCAGACCTTTTAATGTCTGCATATATTGTAAAAAATAACAAAACAAAGTAATCATGAGATTAAGCATTTGCATTCACATCAGCGAATTTCCACAGTTAAAATATCTGCAAAATCAAGGTAAAAATGTATTAAAAATATATAAATCTACCTAAAATACATGTGCTTATATGCATTAGTGTGTAAAAATAAAATAAAAATGACATTGTCATTTTCTTTAACGCCAGTTAAACCTTTTTTGATTGGATTATTAAAAAGGTTAAATGACATTAGAATGAGATGTAAATACGTAGGCACACCATAAATGTTTGAGGTTTACATCGTTGTAAACTCTATTTAAATAGTACTGCAATGCACCGTTTTCCTGAAATTGAACCTTTTGATTTACTAACAGTGTCAAATTTATGATCTAAAACCCTTGTATTTATTTCAAATAAATGGTCCACATTATAAAACCCTGTCCATTCTGCACATCATGCAGAATAAATGTTACATAATTTTCTCAAGTTACTTTAACTCAGCAGTCTCTCTACGTGAGAATTGTCTGTGTTAATTGAGCATAGTTGACCATCATTTACAAGCAAATTCTACAAAAAAGGTCTGTTAGTCATAAAAAAGTAACAGACAGAGTTGGTAAATCCTGTGTTCATCACTCCTCCACTACACCATGAACTGGGTGTATCCCTCTGCACCTGTGACAATGACATCCATCCAGATCCTCATGGCTTCAGGAGAGGGAGCAACCATGTAGTAGACCCGGTCATGAGTCTTAACACTAAAGGTCAAAGATGGGTTTGGACTCTGTAGATAAAACAAACCCAGATTATACAGTGAAAAGTTTTTTAGTCTTGTCCCATTATTAAATGTATTAGTTTATTTTATTTAGATCTTTCTATTTAGCTTTGTATTTATTATGTATTTTATTTATTTTGTCAAACTGGACTGGAGAAAAACTAAATAAACAGAAAAAGAGGAAGTGACAATTTACAGTTACAACATATGTCATGTAAACATTTACCTTGTGTGCATTCTTCAAGTGATCATAGTACACTTCTTCAATGGCTTGGAAGTAGATGACTCCTTTCAGCTTGACCTCATGTTTGTCTGCAGCAGGTTGGGAGGAAAATGCAAAATAATTTTACTATTTTATTGATCTTTAAAGTTTTTTTTTAAATAAAGGGCTGCAAAGTTGATTTGGAATTGTAAAGAAAATGTCCATATCTCAACACGATGACGACGACGACGTTGGAATCTTCCAGATTTTAGACCTGTGCTCTATCTCACCTGCAAAGTAGGAGAGTGTACGTCTGTTGCGGTCAAAGACAAACCAGCGTTTCTTCCAGGTTTTAATTTTGCCCCCCATCTTGACCAAGTATCCTCGACACGTCTTTTCAGAGATGGACAAGTGGAAGCAAGTATCTGTGCTGTGGCCCGCTGACTCTATGTGAGCTCGGAGGTCAAAATCATCTTTTCTGACTGGCAAGTACCGTGTAAGTGGTCGAGACTGAAAGGAAGGGAAGACAAAATAATAAAAAATTAAAAAATGATCTTAGCACAGTCACTTAGATAATTTACTTGTGGTATTGTTTTTTTTTTTGATAATATTTCCACCAGGTCCATCTTCCTCACCTGTGCCCTCTGTTTCTCCCGCAGTTTCACCTCACGGTCGATAAGTTTCTGCCGTCTGCTCGTCTCCTCCTGTAGACGTTTTTCCAGCTCCTCTCTTCGTTTTCTCTCTTCCTCCAGTGCCTGCTTTCGTATTTCCATCTCTCGTTCCTGAAAAAAAAAATTGAATTCCTTGAGATAAAAACACAAGAAGATTCATTCATGACATGCCTTAATCTGCTGTCAAATAAAATGAAATTACAATAAAGTCTCATAGTGACCTTGTGCTCAATAAGGCGATTCTTCTCTAGCTGAGCCTCTCGCAGTAGACGCTCCATCTCCTCCAGTTTGGCCACATTTGAGGTGCTGGCACTACAGCATTAAGACACATATGATACACATCAGACCACCTTGTCAAAATGAAGAGTGTGTTGATTTCTCAGGGTGAAACCTAGATTTCAGCACATCAAAATGTCTCATAAATTAATAACAAACATAATATTTGACATTCCACCATACTGCATGTTGCACATGTGGAACAATATAACAGTATTACATGTATGATGCAATTTGCTTGGTACAGTTTAAGTCATGAAGAAAACAGTGCTCAAATGTTTGTATATTACATTTTTCAGGGATTTGTGGGAATACAACAGAATACAACGAAAAACAAAAGTATTTTCTGCAACTTAAAAGCACAGATTTATGGTGAATGTTTCAGTTTGCAGTTCCTCTGCATTCCTTTGCAGATTTTTCTGACTTCACCGTCTGCCTTCAGTCTACAATATCACATCTGCTCTCGGTCCTTCCTGCTCCAGATGATCTGCACATGATACCAACCCTCGACTAACATCAATTTACGAATGTTTTCATAGCATTAAACTGTATACTTTTCTCTTTGATTTCAAGACATGAATTAGCTCTTTCCGTGAGCCAGGAGAAAATAAACACACAATCTGTGTGGATATCAAAGGAAGCGTAAATGACTGTTTGACAACAGGCTCTAAACAAATCATTTTACAGGGAAAAAACAGAAGAGAACCATTACAACTAGTGTAACAAAATGAAGTGGAGCAAAGTAAATTCTTTTTGCATTAAATTCAACATTTTATCTTGATGTCTAACTATGTTAAACTTAAAAAACTTTACTGTTTCTGAGTGTAAATTAACATTTAGCTTATCAAGTAAATCATTAATTATTTCATCTATTTCTAGAAAGATATCTTAATTAGTGAATAATAAATCAACAAACAGCTACGCTTGATTACATGAGCTATAATACAAAAAACTCCCTGCCACATCTGTCCCTTGCATTGTTTTCCTTCTCGCCATTTCTTTTCTTACCTTATTCGATGAGAGGCAACCGTGCTCATCCTCATCGCCGACTAACCAACCTTAAAAGTTTTGGTTCAAGTACCTGGATTACTTAGGAAGAACTTGCTCCCGCACTTTAAACCACCACAAAATAAAATACATCACTGACAGGGTGTCAAAGAAATCCAGGTGCAGACAGAAACAGATACAGTTTCCAGCTTTGATCCTGGTGCCAACATCCAATTGAATGCATGCAGGTAAAGAGGGTCTTCCAGCTGCTGTTATAGCAGAGGATCACAGACACGGGGTTTTAGCAGAGAGATCAACCTGCAAGTGATTTTGGGACTCTGTGAAATCTATGTGCAGAAGTCAGACTGTACCACTGAGAGGAACAAAGGAAGGGGAGGAAAAAAGGACAGATGCAACCACTGTAAGAAGGGAAAAAAGGGGGAGTCACCCACACATGGTTTTAGTCCAAGCTGAATGCACCCCCAAAATACTTCTTCATTCTTGTATTGGTTCATTTGAAACTCAGGGGGCTGACTTTGGAAACACATATGCAAACACACACAGACACACACACACATACATACATTCTTTGTGTTTTCTGTCATATGTAACCCGACCCTGACGTGGACAAATCAAAAGTCCCCCCCCCAAGTCACAACACACAGAGTTCAGCCATCATCTGAGGAGGCACTACGAAAGGCGGGAAAACTCTCCACACACTTTTTGAATTAACTCACATTCTGCTCACTTTTTTTACCCAGAGTTGCTTTCAAAACTTAAAGGAAGCTGTTGACCTCTACAATGTCCATCAGCTTGTCAGCCATAGACTAACTTGAAATTATGTTTTAAACTTGGTTTTTCAATGTCAGAAACAATTTTCTCTACATATGAAAAAATGTGCACATGAACTGTGTAGTACAGCAACGATAGGTGGATAGGCGGTGAAATAATGGGATATACACATTCCACCCATTTCCTATAAATTACATAAAATTTAAAATTTGATTAATTTCACAAAAAGGGACACAATTAGTTCATTAACTTGGTGTTTTCTCCTTGCAGATACATAACACAGAAATGTTCAACTTAAACCAAAAAAACAGAAGTTGTTCATTTACCTGGACACATTATCTGGAGAGCAGGCAGAGATGCTGGTGTCAATGGAATCACTGCTATCCACACTCATCGTGTCGAAGCTCTGGTTGTCACGATACCCAAACGTATCGAGGTAGACATTGGTCTGAGAAGCTGCTCGAGAGCCTGACTGACCTGAAAAACACAAACAGAAAAGTATATTGTGTTAAGTTGCCAACACACAATAGTTATAATAGTCCTGCACATCTGTGCTGCACCTGTTTGAGTCACATCCCCTGGAACAACACTTTGCCCAGAGAATTTCAATTTTGGATCAAGATGTCCCGCCACGGTGGAGCACGTTCTTTCACAGAAAAAAAATGATTTCCACCAATATATAGTGCAACCAGCCCAATGATGTAAGCAGTAAAAAGTAAAGTGCAGGCAGGTCTAATTGTATAAATAATTCATAGTTTTCAGGCAAGAACCCTTGACATCCAATTCAAATGATTTAAAATCCCTGCTCTGATACAGACTGACTCTGACTCGACCACTGGCTACAGGAAGAAGCACACCAAAAACCTGATACTATCTGCCCCATACAGCAGACCCACCCATCTGATGAGCAAGATCAAGGGGCCACATACACACCAAACTGCCAGATAAGAACATGCGAAGGCTTGCGATTGACTAGAAACCATTTAAAGTTCTTTTTAATTCCCAGAATATGCGACAATTAAACCAATCTGTGCTCATCGGAACAATTGTAGTGTAAATGTTAATCAAATTAACATGAAAATCATTTTTTTGTCATAAATGTTAATGTTAGCTGCTGTCTAAACAGTAACTATGATGGTGGTTTTGCTGAGGTTTTTCCTAATGATGACAAAAACCTCTTTGTTGTGTGTGGTAGGAAATAGTTTAGTTTCAGCTTGTTATTATTTTTGTTAAATATACATTTTTAAAACTTTTAAATCACTTCAAACGTCAAACGTTTTTTTTCAAATCCAGTAAAACATTTTGATGAATATGCTCCTTAGCCTCTAATGAAGAACCACACTGATGATCTTTACAATAATCCAAATCCCCTGATGCAGCAACTCTCCTCCGGTTGCAGTCCTGCAGTCTTTACTGACAGATAAACAAAACATAATGATGTGTCCACCCACGCACACACACAACTCTCCAGCGGGAATGTTGTGACCAAATAAGGAACATTTTCCGGTAACAAGTGTGAATTTCTGGATAACAGAGACAAAGAAAGAATCCGAAAACGTGTTACGTGTACTTGTGACATTTTGGTTTGGTTTGGTTTCCAGCACAGTTTGTGTATGTGTGAAATGATAGGTGTGAGTAGACTGTGTGTTTACCTTTATGCAGACGGTTTTCAGTTTCCTTGTTGGACAATGAGAGAATCCTTGGAAGAATGCTGCCACAACTTGTGCTCTGTACCAGGGGCTGATGGGGCTACGGTGGACCAGGAAGAGTATTGAGATAGAGAGAGTATTTATTCTGTTATCATTTAGTGAAACATAAGAATTTTTCTAAATGTAATTTATGAGGAAGAACAAAAATGTTTGATCACATGAGTGAATGATTACACTTTGCGACGTCTTTATTTATGTGTCAGTGTGTTTATGTCGGTTAATTTATATGTGTGTGTGTACCTTGGTGGGGAAAGTGCGTCCAAGCGTGGCACATGTAAACTGACGGGGTGTGGTGGGAGGTGTTTTCTTCCTGGGTAATGTGTCACTTAGATGGGACCCGCCCTCTTCCTTAGACCTCTTCCTTTCCTCAAGCAAACGAAAATGCTGACCGCACACACACAGACACACAGAGGAAAGGAGGGCAATGTCAGTTACCTTGGGTAGAAGATTTTTAAAGATTTATTAAAAGGCCACACAAATGAATGCCACTTTAGGGCAAAGATGAGAGAAAATTTGGAGACATTTCTATTTAATGTAATTTTGTAGCTTTGCAAACTTAACTTAACTGTATTAACCCCAGTTAACTGTATATAAATATAGCTTAATAAGAAGCTTCACTGAACAACTTAAATTTTGTCACTTTTATGATTATGTACATGAACAACAATAGTTTACATACTATTCTCGTTACCTGCTCAGACTGAGGTCGGTGTTTTTTAACAGGAAGAGGAGGAGGGGGAGAATCAGGGAGGGGAGAGGGGTCTCGGTATGACACCATGTTCTCTGGCCAATGTACACAGGTGGGTTTGGAAAAAGGGCGGGGGTATAGATGAAAGGAGGGAGAGGAAGGACAGTTCGCAGGTGAGGAAGAATAAAAGAGCTTGGAAAAGAAGAAAGAAACATGTCATAGAACTGAAATACAGTTTAAAAGAAGAAAGCAGAAAGAAAAGAGAAAAGAACACTTTTGTAAACACTTTACAACGTCTGGCCTCTGCATCACTAACCACACACACACACACCTCATCCTCCTGTGGTTTTGGAGTGTCTTCATCTCGGGAGGGGTTTGCCTCGGACTCTGAGGAGTCATTGGTCAAAGCAGGGGCGGACTTACGCTGTGAGTAAAGCTCATTGATTTCACTGACTGTGACATAACCCTGCAAGTATCATGGAGAAATGGAGGAGAGAAAAGGGGTGAGGCATAGCATGGGTCAGTCAGTCTGCCGTATTAATGTGTTACAGCAAATTAGTCGTTAGAATGATGCATAAGTTACGATTTTAGTTTTTAGGTATATCAACAGAACAACACAAGTTATTCAGACACTGGTGAAGATTATGTGGGAGTTACAAGAACATTAACGAGACTTTGGATGACTGTGAGTCAGTATAAGATGATAGATACTAAACCTGAAAAAAAGGGGTTTTTTTCATACAGTGTACAGATGTGGAGGACGGCATAAAAAATGTGAGAGATGCATTCAAAAGCAGAGGAGCAGAGGTTAGGAAGAGCAGTACAGTAAAAGGATTCTTAAGTACTTAGTTAATGATGGTAATATAGACACAAAAGGCAAGGAAAAGTTCACCTAAACACACCAAAAGCATCAGTATGCTTGTTGGTGTTTAGCGAGACACTAAAGGACACTATTTCTAATGTTGCATTCAGAGTTTGCACACTTTGCCCCCTTGTGGAGTGACAAGGTAATGCAGCATCAAATGAGATACAGTACAAGTGCACACACACAGGACGATCACAACCCTAAGCTGTCTGACTGTCAAAGAAGAAAAGTTACTAAAACAAACCAGGAAATTTGTTCAAGAAAAGCAGTTTTTAAAAGTAAAAAAGAAATGACAAGTTGTTTGGTTTTGTTTTCGAAATACAAAACAAGAAAACAAGTTTTTTCAAAAGAAAAACTTGATGAACTCTTGGTAACAGTTGAAATGTCTGTCTCTCAGCCAGCTGGAATTAACCAGAAGAACACAAGGAAAGCCCAGCCATTAATAATAATGGCAGGTCAAAAATGTACATACTGATCATTTTTTGTCTTGACAGCTGTTAAGTTAATTTACCTCTCTTAGTGTAAAACCCCGACTACCAGTGAGATCGGTATGTTTCCCTTCAAGAGAGGCAAGTTTTTCTTTTTCCTAGCAGAAAATAAAAACATTGTAAATACCCAAAGGTTATTAAAACTAATTTAATGCTTTGGGGTTGTTAGGTTAAGACTTCTCAAACATATGCAAACATAAATTTCCTGTTACCCTTTGCATCATTGATTCCAGGTTGCTCCTCTCACTCAAGAAGCTTTCCTTCTCACGCTGAGCTTGCTGGGTGATCTGTGCCGTCTGCTTTTTAAGTGTTGACAGTCGCTCCTTAAAAAGAAAGACACAATTTTTTCTAAAAATTTCCATTTCAATAAAACCTTGAAATGTTTTGTACATTTGAAAAAGCATAGAAAAAATTAAAAGAGACAGCAGTTACCTTGCGAGTGACTGTACTGCGCTGGTAGTCTGCAATCTCCCGTAGAAGTTGCTGTGTTTGTGTTTCCTTCTCGTCATCTTGCCTGCTTTCATTTTCCAGGTGCTGAAATTCCAGGTCCTCAAAACGCTTTGTCTCAGCTTCAAGTACCTCACAGTCCTGACAGATGCAAACCGAAACATAATCCACATAGAAATGGACAAAATTACAGGAAACGCATGTGTGTAGGACAAGCTGTACCATATGTCCACAAAAATGTACAAAAATGTTTGTCATGTTGAACATCTTATTTAATCTGAAAACATAACCCCCATTTAATGACTTTGAACATTTGTTTTTCCAATTTAAAAAACAATTAATGTGATCAAACAAATAATATATGGACAGGCACCTTCTCCTCACCAAATACATTAACAAAAAAAAGATTCACGGATGCCTGATGCATAACAATCATGCACAATCCTGCACCAGAGCAAAACCAGACTTTTCAAGTGTCATGCAACATGTTGCACCGTGCAAGCATTTCCCCAGACACAGAAAACCACACCACAACACCACTTTGAGAAAATCCAGTGACAAAAGAAAGAGCGATGCCACACGTGTGGGTCTCTCAGACCCCAGCCCGTCAGACACCACATACTCTTTAGGTTGAACCCATCTGATGAAACATCAGTTAGACAGTGAGAAGACACAAATCGGTAAGAGATTATCATGTTTGTCATTGAGAGCATGTTTGATGATGAAAGAAAAGGTGTTATGAAGGCAGGCATCGCATGACTCTTTATATTCATGCAAGTCGGCCCGTTCACAGCAGTTCGTGTTTTGTCAGTATACAGAATATAGGTGCACATGCATCTGCTTTTGTTTTAGTCAGGTGTACATTGAAACTATCATATGCATACACAGAGCTGCTTTAGTTGTCACTCGTATTCGTTATGTTTGACTTTGAGCTTATCTACTTTTGTATTTGCTTTCCTGGATCCACAGATTTAGAAATGTGAGATTGCAAATCTGCACCGACTTAAAAAGGGACAATGATTTGCTTTGGGTATTCCTCACCGTTTCTTCCTGTGCACATGTGTGTGAGGTGTTGAGTGTGTACTGACCCTGGCTAGCTGCTCCTGCAGGGGCTCCTTGGTGGCCTCAGGGCAGCTGTCCAGTTGGGAGCGCTGCTCACACACAATCTGAGCCAACCTCTCTACTCTGCCCCTTTCTGCCTCCAGCAACTCAAACGCCTGGCGTACACACACACACATGAACATGCACACACCCACACACAAGGACACATGTACCGCGTACATGGTTGTGTGTCCACATTGATACAAGGACAGGTACAAACAAACACACAACAGAGAGAGGATGGCTGTGTTAGTTGGATTAGGGAGCCACAAGTAATAACTACAGCGAACAGATCAGCGACATTAGCATAGACGGGAGGATCAGAAAGAGAGGGGAAGGGGAGATGGTGGAGGACAATATTTCTGTGTAAATGATGGAGACAATGGGAGGTTAAATGAAAAACATTCTGGCAGGAAGATAGTATGTAATGTTTATTAGTTGTGACATCTGCCTTTGTATTTTATATGTTGGTATTTTTTTTCTGTTCTTTCACCAAAGAACCAAACCATTCTCAAAGAGGAATCACTTTCAGCTTGTACCATTAACAAGAGGTTTTACACCTGATGCAACTCTGGTGGCAGGTGGAAGATCTACCGCTGCACCGCGAACCAGATAATTCTAAAAAAAGTAAATAAACACTCAGCTTGTACATACAGACTGACTCAAGTTGGTTTGTTTTGCTTATTTAACTCTCTGTCAGTCTGTCAGCCTGTAGCTCATTCATCTCAATATCAGCTGTGCCACAAAAATGTGCCAATGATAGTTTCAGCCACTACCTATGGGAAACTCATTACAATTACCTCATTAGTAACCTGGACAATTGGTGACAAAATGCCACAATGCTGAACAGAAGCAACATGCTTTTAAGACACAAGACTCACCAAGTCTACTCCTGCCAATGAGTACAATTTTTGTTGCATGCAGTTTGTATTAACATACGTAAAGTGTGTGCCTTTAACAAACAACTCAACTGATCAACTGAATCCCACTGAACACGGATGTGCAGAAAACAATGATATCTAAACACAACAGAAGTCTCTTCACAGCTGATGACTATCTGACGGGACTTCAGATGAACAAGGCCACGCCCTTGACAGTATTTACAGATATATATTTGGACTTGAGGCAGCATGAGAAGGATTAACGTCCATAAGTCAGTCACATGACCCCACTGAGTATCATATGTAATTTCTATTGCGAGCATGCACTCATGCTTTACCCTTTTACCACAAATGAAAAAAGAAAGTTATAAAAAATGCAGCTTCGCAAACAATCAAATTAAACCACTAGTCTGTACAATAAATTTCTTTGCAATTTAAGTGTATTCTTATCCCTCGATCCACCAACAACTCAGTCTTTTCTCTTATCCCTTTTAATACTTACTGTTTTATTTTCCACACAATGTATCCTCTTAAATACCTTTTCTTTTTCCTGTTGGGACTGGTTTTCCAGTTCTGCCATCTTGTTGTGAAGAGCTTCCAGAGCCTCCTTTTCCTGCTGCAGAGCTGCCACTTCTGACTCCTGCTCAGCCTCCACCAGAGCTCGTTCAACCTCCACCTTGGAGAAATACATGTTCCACATTTATTCATACAATTAATAAAACACATTTTAAACATGAAAAGCAAATGGGGAAATTAAAGTAAAGCTTTTATTTTTTTCTAAATAAAGTACCTAGATTTACTTTACAATTAAACATTAATTTGTTGATAGACATGAATTTAAATATGAATCTCTCTATTCTCTTGTGCCACCTCTCTTGCAGACTCCTCCATTTGGTTGTCCAGTTCTTTGATCTTTCTCTCCAGTTCCTCCATGTTGTTCAGCACCTGCATCCTCTCCTCCTTCACCTGCCTCACCTCCTCCTCCTGTCTAATGTGACGAGCTGCATCCTCAAGAGCCTGTGTCATCAGCACATGTTTTATCATTGTAAACATCTACATCTACATCAAAAAAGTTTCATCAACTTAATGAGAAAATGTTTATTTAAAAAAATAATCGAATAAATAACTAAAATCCCACCTTGTTGCATTGTATGAACTATATGAACACACTGACAAAGACATGATTTACATGACAAAAAGCTTGATAACTATTGAAGTATGTGGCATACTTAGGGAAATGTCAAGTGCACTTGTTATACCAGCGTAAAAACACAGGGCATCCCCTTATTCACACAAAGCAGAAAACACAATGCAAGTGTTGTTGTTTTTTTTTTACCTCATTGGTCCTTTGTGTGCGTGGAGAAGGTGAGGGGGCAAAGTTTCTCAAACTGACTGTAGGTGACTGTGCCCTGTTGTCTCTGTGACCACTTCTACGTCTCTGACGTAATTGTATTTCATCATCGTAGTAGCCATTTTCTGATCCTGGTGAGGTCATGTATCCGTTCTCTGTGGTTTCAATGACAGATGAAATGTCTGAAAAGACTGATGGCGTGTCGTCATCGTCGTCATTCACTCGGAGCTTCTCGAGCTCCTGGTTGATCTTTTGAAGATTGGCCACAGCTGAAGTGGAGCCCGTAGTTGTGATGCCTCCATCTCTGTCAGCGTTGCCGAGCTCCGAGCACAGAGATAATATAGTCTCTAGTCGCTGTCGCTCCTAACATAAAAACACATACACACACACAGATACATGCACGGGATTGACGCAAAGATAGTATAGTAACAGCTCACTTTGAATTTCAGCAATTATAAAGGTCAAATGCAAAAACAGCAACATTTAAAAAGGGGAAAACGCATGATCCTCATGATGTTGTTACCTGAGGAAGCATTGCAGAAAGCAGTCTGTCCTGCTTGTCTTGTTCAGTACTTACTCCTTGTCACTGTTTGTCATTCACATACTGTTGTGAATGACATGACTCATGTACTCTAGAAAATCAAGTTCCTCTCACTGGCAAACCCTGCAACAAGTGCGCCTGTTTACTCCTTTCTGTCTGTCCGATCACAGCTATATGTGGAGCTATGCAGGCTACAAAGACTCAAAATAACCTCCACTAGCTTCGGTGTTAACTTCTCTGGCAAGAAATGTATGCCATCCTCACAGAGGCCCTTTGTAAGTTAGGAATATCAGAAGGGTGAAAAGAATGTAGCAGGAAAGAAAGAAGAAAAAAAACACACACACAACATAACACGTGACTGGTGTGTGTTTGAATGTGTGACAACGTGTGAGGTAATGAGTAGGTGGACAGCTGTCAAGTGCGGTCAGAAGGGTACAAGAAAAAGCTGTGACTCTGGGCATAGGAATGTGTCCGTGTACTGTCACTAAAGAAAGAGGATATTTTCTGAAAAATTACAGTTTTAAATAATAAAACTTTAGATCTTGTGACATTTGGATAAGAAAATGTCCTAATGCAAATACGTTGTTTACATAGGTAGGCCAAGAATATCCCCGGCCACGGGTATTTAATTTATTATTATTATTATTAATATATTATTAGTTAAAAATTGTTCAAAGGATGGCATACAAAAAAATAAATCAAATAATCACACAAAGCAGACAATTCTGTCAAATTTACGGCATTATTTATGACAGTTAAAACCTAACACTGGACAATATTTGCTCAAACACAGTCCAGTCTGAAGTGTCTGTGTGTAACATGAACCCAGCGCTGAGACAAAACAAGCGGGTGCCAGTTTGTCACCTTGCTCTATTCTAATAGCCACAGGACTGTGTGGAACTCGGCTTGTAGTAATCAGCTGTCAACTCGGGGTGGAAAGTCATGTAAAGGGAGATGCAGAACCAATAAATATATGGATGAAAGAACATGATGTGAGGAAGTAGAAAGAAAAATAGAAAATATCTTAATAAGAAATAGAAATACACTTTGGAAGCCCATTGTGCTTTATAGGTAAAAAAGAAGGTTATCTTACCATTTTTACCTATTCTTTATGTAACAAAATAATGATGTTGCTAAAACAAGCAGTTGTTGGTGACTTAATAATCTGGTTACAAGTTAACCTGTAGATACTAAATAGATAATATCTATGCAGATTGTACAGCCTTGTTTCAATTGCTAGAGAAAGGAACAGTTGTCATGATGACACACGCTGTATATTCGCTGCACTGCCACCAGAGGGCAGAGAGAGATTGACATTTGGACTCGAATTCAGTCTATTTTGGCTCACAGCCCCACAGCCATGTTGTTTAATTAAAAATTGTTTAAATTTAAACTGAACTTAATGTGTCATTAAACTGTCAAATGTAACTAGAGAAAAACTAACCCTGCAGCATTTCAATCAAGCTTCAAATCAAGTTCAAAGTGCAAATAGTTCTGTGAACCAGGCAGGAGAAGAGAAGAAGGTCCACATTATTCAATCTTGATAACATAATTATAACCTACAGTGTCTTGAGGCGAGCTGACGACCACTGTGAAGTTTCTGCAACAGTTTGGTTTGTACAGAATCCAAAAAAATATTTCTCACAGTAAAAGGCACAGTAGGATATGGAGTAGAATACGTCGCAGTATGTTCTGCGTGTGTTCGTTCTGTGTGAAAGTAAGAGACGTACTGTAGACTGAGGGATAGCGGGATTATAAGGCCACTTGTCATTATACAGTGTGTTGACCAGCTGTGTGTTTATCCACCTGCTGCACAAAACCCCTGCTCTCTAATCTTCTCCAGTTTCACTAACCGACAGCTGACTGATGTGTTCTGCGGGTCCTCAGTGGACCGAACCACGCTGGGCGGCTTTCCAGATGACTGACATAAACACACATTGCAAGTACACAAACTAGAACAAAATCCAAGCAGGAGGATAAGAATAGTCCTGTTAGGAGCGGTCAACTGCAGAAGGCATCTGTGCAAGTGGTAAACCACACTTCTTGTGTGTGTATGCGCGCGTGTGTGTTAAGATTCCTGAGAGAATGTGTTTGAGAGTGCAAGAAGGAGGTCAATGATAAAGGGAAGCATTCCTGAATGCATTCCTTTTCACATGCATCTTGCCAACATGGCAGCACAAAGCATAGGTCCCAATGTTCTCCTGGTATCCTTCCCAGATACTACGTTTAAGAAAAGACTATTTCTGACATTTTTAAAATGTACCCAAATGGCAAAAACTGGATTGGAAGATTGATCAAGAGGTCCAGAGAGTTCCACAGTATTTTATAGAAATGAAGCTGAACATTAGAGGATTGCAAAAACAGCACCTCCACTGAAGATTCACCTCCAAGCCCAATTCATTATATTTGGCCAAATAAGACAGCTTCTTGGCCATGTAAATGTTTGGAGAAATGTGTGAGAGGAACAAACCAGAAAGAACTCCCCACTGGGAAATACTGACATGAACATATAAAACAGCTTGGAAGTCATTTTACAGTAAAAGGAACTATTCAGAAGGATGACATTTTAAAGATTCAAAAGAAAAATAGAAACTAGGTCATTGTTGTCAGTTTGTGTAAAACCTGAAGCATATTCAACTGCAAAATGCCACAAATTGAAATCAATAGACAATATGTAGAGCAAATTTGCCAAAATGGATTGGACAGCTTAGGAAAAATTCCAGAAACTGTCCTTTGTTATTCAGCGAATAAAACTGGTACTTTTATTTCTGCATGTAATGTTAAGTGCTGTATGTCTGGTGTCAAAATGAGAAGAACAACTTTAAATGAGGAAAACAAATGCACCCTCCAACTCACCAGTCTTTCCACTTCTTGTTCACGTAGCCTTTCTTCTTTTTGGCGGTGGTGGTAGTCAGTCAGCTCCTCCTTCCCACTCAGTGAGCTGATGCTCCCCCTTCTTTCCCTGAACCCTCCTGATGGAGTCACTCCTGCCTTTCCAAATGATGCCCTCCTCTCACCCAGCCCTATTCGGGGTTCCAGGCCTGCCTTGCCGAATGAAGATCTCCTCTCTCCCAGATCAAAACTATGGGCAACATTGATTTCAAGATCTGGCCCATGCCTCTCCTTTTCTAAACCCAGTTCTGTTGTCTGGGAGAATTCACTGTGGGCCAACCCTTCTGTGTCTGAAAGGATGGAGGCTGTGGGGCTGTTGGTGCCCAATGAAGATGTTGAGGTCAGGCTGAGTTTTTTTGCCACACGAGGTGAACCCCCTGCTTTGGATGGAATGGTCACATCGGGAGGGGTTGCTGTGGTGGAGATGGAAGAGGTTGTGGAAGACATGTTCTTAGTAGAGGAGAGAGAGATGGACACAACACTTTCTCCCTGAGTAGTGTTCTGTGCTTGATTCCTGTTTGCGCCCTGCTGTGTAGAGATGTAAGAGTTGTGGTTGGAATCATGGCTGTTGTTGTTGAAGTTGTCTTTGCTCATCTTGTAACTCACACCAATATCAGAGCGGCGTGGGGGCAGTGTGGACAATGTTAAGCCTCTACTGCTGTCATTGGAAGATGCAGAGGGACAGAGGCGAGGCAGAGAGCGGCTGTGACCCGCTCCCAGAATCCCGTTTAGAGAACCTGCTGAGTACTTTCTCTGTCGACTGCTTGGTGACGGTACTTGGTTTCCAATGCTACGACGCCCCAGACGGGGGCTTGAAGGCATGCTGACCGCACCTCCTGCTGATGAAGTGCGAGACGAGGATGAGGGGGGATGAGATATTAGTGAGCTTTCAATACAGGAAACGGAAGATGAAGAGCCTCCGCCATTCCACGTGGACATCAGAGGAGAGGGGCTCTGGTTTTGCAGTCGCCGGGAATCACTTAGGCTATAACCTTCCTGGTTGCGGCCAGTAGAGGAGCGGGAGGACAGAAGAGAAGGGTCGGAGCGACGACCAGGGGAAAGAGGTGGGGCACATTTCAAAGACATGGGTGGACGATCTGTGCCGTAGAATCGTCTTGCTTGCTCCTGATAGGCAGATGAAGATGTGGCAGGGCTTGTGGCAGGTGTTGTCGGTGGAGACTAAGTGAAAGACAAAGAGAAAGAGTTAAATAAATGCAATAATTAGTAATAATTTTCGAGGGTAAGGCTAATTCTTTTTGACTTCATGTGCATTTTAAGACTTTAAAGGAAAGATATAAAATTTTGTCAAAGACCTTTAAGAATAGCTTACCTGCGTTACACTAAAGTAAGAGGGGTTGGTATTCCCGTTGGCTCTCAGACTGTTCTCCAGGGCCATCTTCTTACGCTGCAGGGTGTCCATCAAGTCTCGGAGTTCAGATGCAGACCGCATCCCCCTGGTGCTGCTGGTACCACCCGCCACTGCATAGCTGTAGTCACTACTGAACTTTAGGTAGTCTAGAAATTATGAAAATATAAAATAGTTATTAATTTAAAATATTTAGTAGATACAAAATGAAAAACAAAACTGTGGCTTTAGAATAAGCCACACAGAATCAACAACGTACTGTCATAAATAAGGAAAAATGAGAAAGAACAGCCTTTAGCTGCACCTAAATGTGCTGCTATTCATAATTAGGGCCCTTGGCAGAGCCAGCCTAACCCAAACAATCTCCAACTTGCAGCAGGTCCCCAGAATAGAAATCACACACTCTCTTTTACACACACACACACACACAAAACATGCACAGAAACCACCGTTCTGATCCAAAACAAACAGCTTAACTATAACTTAGGTCTAACTCTTTACTACAGGATTTTAGGGAAATGAAAAGAACCACCACATATCCCTGAATACCCCTGAGGGAAGCCAGGCCTTTGTAGACCCTTTTATTTTAGAGTGGGTGTTGTAAGTTGTAAGAGGGTCTCTTTGAAAACCACCGGTGATTTACTCTCCTCTCTTATTAATTTAGCAATGACCTGACCTGCTAAATTTTTAGGTTTCCTTGACATACTTGTAGCTCAACTTGTAATTCCAAAATACTGCAGTCTCATCAAAAATGCCAGGTAAAATATTAAGGAGTGGTCATGTGGGAGAAACCTCTGTCTGTGTGTTTTTTTGTTCAAGCTTAGACCACCCAGTGTTTAACTGCCACACACTCCCACACACAAAAGCTGTGCCTACATCTTAAAGAAGCCCAAAGAAAAAAACATATATGCTGAAATCGTACATGCATGCTCTAGTTGTAGTATGAATACTAAACCGTAAATCCTTTCCAGAAATGAGTAGGGGGGAAATTAGAGTGTGTAAAAGAGCACGTCACCACTGAGTTTGAATCTTGTTGAGAGAAATGGGGCAGAAAATGAAAGTCGTCATGAGATCGCACGAACAGACACAGAGTATTTGTGTCCATACATGGGAAGATTGAAAACAGAGGTCTGGTGTTCATCAGCCCTCCACTGTTCCACAAACCCTTTGTGTGAGTTTTCATTTTTACGTGCAGATGTAAAAGTAAAAGTACTGGCAGCAAAGAAGCTGGAATAAAGACGTTTTTTTGGCAACTGATTCCCTTGCACTACAAAGCATATGTGTATATGTGTGATGACCATCGCTCTTATGTAAACATTGGAAACTGTGGTTAGACTATGGTGCATTCCTAATGTGCAGGAGTGTAAAGAGCAGAGATAAATCAGTGTATAGCACATACACACACTTTACAGCTTGCAGTGCAATCTATCACGGACGAGACAACAGTGTCCAGCTGAATCACCATGGTAACAGAATGTAACCAGTATATATGAATTCTAAGAAATCACCCAAAAGTTCTGAATCGAAGTTTTAACATATGCTGAACAAGAAGAAGGTGTTTTAGTAGAAAATGCAAGTTCTAAAAGACACATCGGTCTCCACCCAAAATGTTTTGTCTCTCACACATAGTTGCACAACAGTCTGGGTTGTGTCGGCTACCTGCTATATTTCTCTAGGGTTTGATGTTACAACAGGGGAAAATGATGAATGACTAGGTTTTGTGTGGAGGTGAATAGCAGTTTATTAAGGCTGAAAACTGAGAAGGTAAAATAATACCAGAATAAATAAAAAGATGATGATGTGACAGAATAACAGCAGAAGTTGGAACACAGATTAACAACAGTACAGGGGTCTGGGAATGGGTTCAACAGCTGTTTTATATGCATTGCGTATTTATACCTGTGTTGTATGCTAGCGCAGACACAGGGCTCTTCTGTGGAAGCATGCTCTTCATTCTGCTCGCCTCCTCAGGGTGGTTGAACCGGAAAAAGTAGGATTTACCCAAACACAGGGAATAACCTGGAGAAAATACACAGAGAACATCAGGATGAAAATAGACTTTTTTTTACAATAGGGAAAAAAATATTCCTGTAGACTTATACGTGTTCACACATAGGCTGCGACTCCAAACCACAGTATTTACTCTGGCCATCAATTAGACGGAGAGGGCCAGGTATTAAACAAAATGTCAGGGTCACAACCTCTGTAATACACACAGCCAGCCACAGCTGTCCAAATACTTCGGCTGGAAAAAGCAAGGGATGGCTGTGCACACAAACGTTAGGTTTCAAAGTACAGAAAAAAGAGAAATAAAGGTAGAGTCGGCCTAAGTATAACTAAAAGACTTGACTGAGGTGTCCGTATAACTAAACTTTGTGCTATTCATTCTTTCAGTCTCCCTTTATACAGATACACTTTATAACTAACTCTAACTCCAGCAGTGTTAGCATTGCGAAGGCAAAAAGGGAGTTTCTTAATAGCCCTCATTACAGTTACATCAGAGAAAGTGAAGTTAGACACAACCACTGAAGCAAGAGACGGCTTTGGGGGAAAGGGTGAATGGAAAAAACTCTAAATGGAAAAATAACAAGTCTGTTCTTCTTTTTGTTTTCCCTTCTATTATTCTCATCTCCACTTTCCCACACTCCATTCAATGTACATCTCTTTAGCTACAACACTGAAAATCAGTGTTAGCCAAATGATTTAGGATTTAAGTTTAACTTGTGAGGTTATTCCCATCTCGACATTGCCTCAGAGTTTCTTGAAAACATTTTTGTTTTTTAAGCCTTCAAAGCTGCCACAGCATGGGGGGAACCCCGAGCGTAGGGGTGAGGTAGAGCTAACACCACACACACACACACAAATTAAATGTTTAGTCTGCAAAGAAGAACTGCAAACCTCTTCAAATATACTTGTATAAACACTATAGAGCAGGTTCCAGCAAATCCTTGAGGAAGTGGCATCATGACAAAGTGTGAAAAGAACTGTAAAGAAAAAACATACACATGCGCGCGCGCGCACACACACACACACACTAATGTGAGCAAGTTCTAATAATAATATGTCTCTTCTTGCCCGACATGAGTAATGTGCTTTCATCTTCATGTGAGTAGAAATAAAACTTGTAACAGTGTCTGTCTAATGACCTGCAATAACTCTCAGTATTCTGTAGAAAATCCCTGGCATCTGGGAGCAGGTATTTGTGCACACATCACACACTTAGGGAGCTCTTGTAAAAATCTAATTTCCTATCGTCAATGGCTTTACCATGTGCAACCTATAAAATTTGTCACCCTCATTTGTTAATGGCAAAAACGTATTAAACTACTAATTAGTTAACTAAGTATTCGATTAAATAGAAAAATCTAATATTGAGATATCAATTCAATTTTCTATAAAAGTTCTATTCATCTTATCCTAATCCAATCATTTGTGATACAAGTACAAAGGTGAATTTCTGAACCGTGTCACAAAACTGCATCTAAACTGTCTGCAAACTCATTTAATTTACATGTGCTCTCCTACGTAACCATGTCTTTGCCAAGCAAAGACAATTTTAATTAATCTCACTCACGTGTTTGCTTGTCTGACAGTAAATTGAGTTTACAACCTGTGTGGAAGCACGTCTACCCCTAAAAAAATACACAGACACAGACCCTCTGCAATTACAACATAGAACTTGAAATTAGCTTTGAGATACAGTACATTTACAGGATAATTAAAACTGTGTGATCTACAAAGTCAGACCTCAAAGTCTTTGAGGACACAGATGTAAGAGTCCTATCATGTCTAGAGTTCATTTCTGTCCCCTGTAGGTCTGAACCAACTACACTCTCTTACCACAATGTTATGGCAGAGAAAACTAGGAACTTCTTTTGTGTTTGGTTAAAATATATAAAATTTCCAGTATGTGTCGATTAGATTTGTGTCAATCATGAATACTATGAAAAGTTTTAGTCCAGTCAATGTTTTATATGTACATCATTTATGATGAATTGTCATCTAAGAGATACCATTATTTGGGAAAAATCTGCAAGGTTCCAAACTAAAGCTGAACCTAAAGAGGCAAAAACTTGATGCACACACAAACACACACTCAGAGGTCCAAGTGGGGGTGTGACTTGCCCTCAAAACCACAAATGAACCATCTCAGGGGGATGTGGGTTCAGCATTATCACCATAAAAACAGTCTGATCGTTCTCAGGGGAGTCGAGTCACTTCACAATTTCACAATACACACACAAACACACACTCATATACACAATACACCACCTCACAAGCTTAGTTCTGCTCTGTCAGCTCTAGCTACAGCAGGCTCTTCAGGCCTGTAGTTACTTCTCAGTCTTGTTGACAGACAAGAAACAATCAACAAGTTTTATTTATCGGATTGAAAAATAAATGAAAATTAGTCTAGATTCATTTTCAAAATGATAAAAGTAATTAAAACCTGAGGCAGACAGAAGAAAGAAGCATAAGAACACAATAAACCCTGAACAATGATGCAGATTTCTTTTCAGGTGTCAGGTATCGTGACCACAAACTGTGTCTTTTGACCCTGGGGCTAATTCTCTGTGTACCTCTTCCTCTGTCACAGGCGCCTACACTGGTCTGTGATTCTGGAGGTAATTTATGACACCCACAGCAGGTACACCTAGCTCATTTTCAATGAAAAGGTGCATGACAACAAAGAGTGAGGGTGTGATGGAATGTTTCCAAGCAGAGCTTGGCTTCAAGTATAAAAAAACATCTTTCACCACTTTGTGGGTTGGATTGAATTAAGGAGCTGCACAGATTTACAACTCAACTCCTGGAAGACGTGCCATGTGAAGCTAAGCTTACAGACTCCATTTAAAGGGCAAAACAGAGCACTTACTTTAACCAAGTCAGACTAAATGCAGTGTATGCAACTCTCTGCAGATATTTAATTGCCATTTTAGGAAATGTGTGAGGCCCGAGTTAAATGTAAAGCCTAACATGTTGCGCTGCTTTTGCTAAAATTATTTTGCTCAAGGTGCAGTTCTGGGAAAATTTTGGAGTTAGTTCGGCTTCATGCATCCTGACCTTCAGAGATCAAAGTGCCAGTTGTAGGTCACAGCACTGTCTTTCTGTTTCCTGTGAACCCAGGTGGATCATTTTAAAGGTAAAGTCAATTATATCAACCGCTGTACTAAATCAATTTGTTCTGGTTGAGAGAAAACAGCGTACACTGCTTATTTAGAGATGGGACGAAAGAATCCTTTAAGCAAATGCATTAAAGAAATGATGTTAAAGAGTGGATCAAGTTAGTGACGTAACCTGTTCAGAGAACATGTCAGGGCAAAAATTAAACAAAAAGCAAAACAGTATGACAAAAGACTAGTAATGAATGCATTTCTGAATGCATTCCGTGGAACAAACACTGCTGTGGTTTTATGTACATGCCTGGTGTATTATGCTATTTCTTCCCTTTATCAATGGTATTGCAATGCTACCTGTGCGTTTTTTTAAATAAACAAAAGATAAACACCCATCTTATCAGAGTAAACAAGCTGCATCACATGCTCTGTAACATATCTGACAATGCAAGCCAGCGTTGTTTATGAACATAACCGGTTACAACGTTTACAAAATATCTAGGTTATCAGTTTGAGGAAGCACAAATAACAATAACAAAGAAGACAAATAGTTAAACTACCATTTGAATAAATGTAACGCAGCACGAGATATAAAAGAAATAGTACGCACCTTTTGATTCCCATTCAGTACGCACTTGCGAATAAGTAAAAACAAATTAATTCTTGATAAATTAAAATAACTTCCTGATTCAAGACAAAACAAAACAAGTATACTGTATATCTACACTGGCTACCGTTGGTCTGTGAGCTGCTGTTTGCCTTCCCTTCACCAATGAAACACCAGCCAAATAGTCCGACTGAGCAGAGAAGAAAGTTCACTGATTACCATACACAAGCCGTAGTCCTGGACCGTACCAACTTCCAGGGAAGAAATAGGGGGAGTTGCAAGTTCGAGAATTCAGACAGTAAACAACTTGAACTTCGGTAATCAGTGATACCTGGTTATATTTAGTGAAGTTTCTCCAAAAATACAAAATAGTTTAATACACAGCTGATATTAATTAAAGAGCAAATGCAAACTGACGCTTTTGTTCATGATCACCCCTAATCCTGACTGTGTTAAAATCATGAGCTCGTGAGGTCGTTTTTAGACGCTCAACAGCATTTTCTTTGTCTTCTTACCTAAAATTATTTTTTTTAACTCAAATACTTCGGTCTGGTGTTAATCAAATCAAGTTAATTTGTAAGCTGTTACACAGTCAGATTTTACTCAATGTGCGTCATAAGTAATTTCCAAAGCATTACTTTGACTTAAAGGTATATTGTAAAAAATGAAAGAAAAAAACAAAGATAAGATAAATTGTACAACAACAAACAAGACTTTATTGCGTGGTAAAAATCAACAAATAAATCTTACTTTAAATAGATCCTCAGAAGCATTTTATAACCTAAAATGCATATTAATTGTACCTAAACCTTAAACAGTGTATCATTAATAATCCTTAAGAATACAAACAAAAATAAAACAGACGATTGATGGACATGTTGGGTATTTTAGATGCATTGACTGGAAAAAGACTAGGAGTGAATAGTTAAAGAAAGGTAACACCAAGCGGTAAATAAGTCTTAAACCTGCGGAGAGACCTATGGCCCCGAGCCTAGTCAGGGGTCTGGTCTATATTCTGGTTTTATTCACTTGATTAGTGCTCCTTAACCATTTGAGACACAACATACAAGAACCCAGTGTGCACACTGTGAGAAAGGCTATTATATTAGCAAGGAGAGCAGGGAGTTTTATAGGCTACCTGAAGTTTGCTGACACGTAACCTGTAAGTCAGTACGCAGGAACTGATCAAAAACAGATGGAAGGCTGCTAATAGCTTTTCCAAACCACATTAGAGAGAAGATTTAACGAGGCAGTAGTGCCTGTTTGTCAATGCAATAACTGGCCAAGTGTCTTTTTGTTCCCGTGCATATCCAACAAGTGAACATGGTGTGTGACTGCTCTGTGACTGTAATTTGTTCCAGTAAGTTAAGAGTGAAACTGATACGAATCTAGGTCAACTTCAGAAGATGAAAAAGATCAGTTCCTAAACTTGATCATCTCCAGACCACCCTGCAGTGATTCTCTCTTTTTCGCCACATTTTCTAATCCACCACCCAAACCACATGTTTGAATGTACTTTAAGCTCTTTTTATCACTTTATCAGCCCTATCCCTTTTCCCTCTTACCTAACAATGCTCTGACCTTGTGAGTGTAGACAGGCCTGGGTGATGTAAATATTTGAATCATAGAGACAGAGTGGGAGGATAAATAGACATATCAATGTTTAACTCCAAATGGCGTAGCCACACAGAGGACAACGACAAAGAGAAAGGGGGTACACAAGATCAGATACAAGGTCACTCTACTGTGGCATGTTCTTCCAAAGTCAAACGCAGATGGTGAAACTATCTGCAAGGTTGACAGATGTTTAAGACACAATGACTGGTAGGTGTGAAGTGATAGTCAGATAGATTGGCATGGTGCCAGTGTTCTGGTATTACTTAGAACAGTGTTTTAGGAATAGTGTATGATCTGCACTTTCGGAAGGCTCTGACTCAGGGTAGCAGCTCGCTACACATCACAGCAAAATTAAATACATAAATCATGACACACGCCTATACATACTTGCAAAAACACAGTTTGGCAAGCACAAATACACGCATCCAGACTCACACACAGTAAAAAATACTAAAAAATGCTACAATACAAAATGTTTCTTGTTTCTATTCTGCATAAAAAAACAAGAACTGGTTTTTGTGTTATCTCAGTAAAGTTAACTGTTCCTTCATGACTCATGTATACACTTATGTAGAGGAATGTG